AAAAGGGCTCAAAGCTCTTGGCCACCCTAAATCAGTACTGGAGCTCTGATTAGCTCCAAGGCTGGAGTGGGGAAGGAAGAAAGTGGTAGAGTGCTCTCCTAGTGGCCCTAAGCAGTGCTAAGGGCTGCCGAGCACCAGTCCTGCTCCTTCTGCCCGAAGCCTGAATCTGCATCTGTTCCACTGCATCGTAAGCTCTCCTGAAAAGGGCTCAAAGCTCTTGGCCACCCTAAATCAGTACTGGAGCTCTGATTAGCTCCAAGGCTGGAGTGGGGAAGGAAGAAAGTGGTAGAGTGCTCTCCTAGTGGCCCTAAGCAGTGCTAAGGGCTGCCGAGCACCAGTCCTGCTCCTTCTGCCCGAAGCCTGAATCTGCATCTGTTCCACTGCATCGTAAGCTCTCCTGAGCCCTAGGGAGCAGCACCACCTATGTCTAAGTAATTCATGAGTGAAATAATCTCGGGCAGCCATGTTTTCCCAGCACCATGCAGCTAGTCAACAGGTCCCTTTCACCAGCCTCTGAGCCATGATGTTGTCCACTCGAGCTACATTGTTCTGCCCGAAGCCTGAATCTGCATCTGTTCCACTGCATCGTAAGCTCTCCTGAGCCCTAGGGAGCAGCACCACCTATGTCTAAGTAATTCATGAGTGAAATAATCTCGGGCAGCCATGTTTTCCCAGCACCATGCAGCTAGTCAACAGGTCCCTTTCACCAGCCTCTGAGCCATGATGTTGTCCACTCGAGCTACATTGCAGTTGTACCTTCTCAACCTTCCAATGGAGGGCTCCTCCTCAGCTGTCTATCTGTGAGGGCGACTGGCCTGGGCTGCCCAAGACAGGCTCGTGGCTGATAACTCCAAAATGATGTCAATCGAGAAGTGGAATTCAAATGACCAATCCTTCGCAGCAAGCAGTGGAGAAAGCTCTCCCCACAACTGCCTCCAGGATCAGCAGTCTCAGTACATGGGCTATGCAGCCATAAAGGAGTAAGCAGCATTATAATGCTGAATGGGGAAGGGCTAGGATTTGGCCCTAGCAGCATAGTCTAATTTAGTGAACAATAAATCAATCAGTTGTCTGTATTTTTGTGCCATAAATATAACTAGCCACACAGTTATATACTGCTACAGATCTAAATTACACTGACAGCAACAAGGACATTGGGAGCTAAAAGACTGCTGCTCCACTGTGAATTCACCTTCCTATACTAGTACTTAAGTACTGCCGTTAAGCATGATCAGTAGCAAGACACCTGACCCAGCTGGCTAATCAAGTGTAATCTATCTGACCCATCTGGCACCTGAGCCAGCCAGTATTCTTACATAATTAATATCACAGGCTAATGTACTTGCACCAGTCCTCCACACCACACTATCTCATGTATATGAAGTGCAAGTTGGAGGATCATTTAACACTGAATTTTCTCAATACATCACAATTACAGAATCACCCTTGCTGAATAGCTTCTTTTTACTGAGCTGCTGGGAATTTTCAGTGTCTCAGTAGTTAACAAATTATATCATTTCTTATCTGAGATGGAGAGATCTAATAGTTGCACATAGGGACTACAGGATAAAGCAGGCATTAGGTCAAATCCATGTGAAGAAATACAAAAGCAGTTCATCATTAACCTGCCCCGAGTGTTATCTTGTTTAACTCTTTGCTCGATATATTTCTTTTAAGCCCACAACTTTACGGACCAGATACTGCAAACTTTATTCACATGGGCTGTGCCATTAAAGTCAATTGGAGAGGATCCCCATATTGGTATTGCAGGGTTGGTTAATGTCAACTTGCAGGCCCAAATACTGAAAAATGCACATATGCCTACATATTAATTTTGCTTGCTGAAACAGGATGGATTTTTAAGCATAAGTTAGTAATAACAACAAAGATAATGAAATAACCATTAGCCTATGTCTGCCTTCCAGGGCACTTGGATACTCTGATTTTTTAGAAGAGTCCTTCCCTAAACCAGGGAAAAACTGTTCTAATGCCACTTTACCCTACCTACAAGATCTCTGTATAGTTTTATGGTGTCCACCACACTTGCCATTAGCCACATGTGGCTAGTTCACTATAGTGGTTACTGCTTCAGAACTGGTTGGATACCACTAGTGGGTTCCTTGGATGGGATACAGATCCATAGCAAGTCTACACCACTCTCAGTAGCTGGCAAGGTCAGAGGAAAGCATGACTACACCCTGGCAATCAGGGCTGTCCCTGGGGAGGAAGGGGGAGCGATGAGGGCAAATTACCTATATTGGGCCTCCCTTAATATTTTATAGTCAGGCAAGTGGGCCCTGATTCACCTCCATCAACCTGCTGACTTTCCCATTCCC